ACAACTATTCCCTTCAGATTTTCATCCTGCCTTTCCTGGAAAAAGAGGCAGCTGCTTATTCTGTTGCCTTGGATATGGTTTTATTTCTCCCATGAAGACGATTGCATCCATTTTAATTCATGGTGGCCTCGTTTTGTGGCCCTTGAGATTGTTGCCTGTGTATGTGAGAGAGAGAGAGAGAGAGAGAGAGAGAAAGACAGTATACATGAGAGAGAATTTCCTTTGCCATAGATCTGGAAAATGCTGCTGAATGCAATGTCTTCATAAAGATGTTAGGTAGGAATGCAAAGAAGACCTTGTTAGCGGCTGTTCCCAAGCTTTGGAACTCCCTTCCAAAATAGATAGGCTAGACTGGACGACCTGCTGTGGACGACCTGCTGTTATCTATCTACTAGTTGGCAGACATATTTATTCTGACTAGCTTTCAACAACTGGCTGATTGTTCAGAGAGGGACTTTAGCACTGACCCATCATACAATGATACCTAGTACTGAAAGGAACTTTCCTAAATGGAGAGGTTTAAAAAAAATTTCCCCAGTTTTTATGCTCCATGTTTAGTATTTGACTAGTCAGATAAAATAATAATCTTCTCTCTGTCATGCCTTCAAAAACTGTTCCATTCTTCATCCATTTCCAATATGTGTTTTTTCAGAAACAGTTCAGTGTTTGTTAAATTGTTGAGGGCTTTACTTATGTTTTGATTGCTTTGGAAAAGAGGTCAGATGCAAACATAATAAATTATGATGTTGAGTAATGATAATGTCACCGGCTTCATGTTTCTTCATAGTCCTGGACAAACTTCTGGTTCACAGTATAATATTTCCCCAAGTCCTTTTCAAGACATGTAGCTTAAGTGGAATACTTTTAACAAATTCCTGGTTCAGACAAGCTGGGGTGCCTGGAGATCAGTGGTTTAAACTATTTAGTCTCCAGGACTTGAACAGAAGTTGGATGGCAACCTCTCAGAAATGCTTTAGCAGTAGAATTTTGTATTGATACTTGTTGGATTAGATGGTCCTTGAAGTCCATTCCAACTCTACAATTCTATGAAAAAGTGGCTGAAGGTTTCCAGAGGATATTTTGTTTGTTTCCTCAGGTGTTCTGAAAGATCACTGGCTATTTACTACTGGATGGTTTTGTGTGTAACTCACTGAACCTAATGCCACCCTATTTTGGCTCTTGCAAGCAGACATCATATCTGGGGAGCCTGTTTAGTTTCCAGAATGCCCATAGAAGAATTCTGTTGTTGTCTCCTCTTCTTCTCCTTTCTCCATTTAAATCAGAATACACAAGATCTTTTTGCAGGTTCAGAGGAAGTATAAGTAATACACAGAAGCAAAGCTTCACAGAAGCAGCAGTAATGAAATTTCAAGGTAGACCTCCAGTCACTTCACCTTTGTGGTGTTCTCCTTAGATACATTTCTTTATTTATCTGAAAGCTATGTTTTGTGGTGGCAAGATTCTGCTAAAATTTGGAGAAGTCAGGGTTGAGGCTTCTGGTTTTGGTTCAATACCTTTTAACTTTTTTTGTTTTCTTTCAATCATGGGCAGGCAACTATGGAAGTAAGCCATTTTTCACCCCAGGAGTAGTCATACTGGTGCACTGGATGTAACAGAAAGGGACATCCCTACTCTCTCATATATATGTTTATGTGTGTGTGTGTGTGTATTTAAAAACAATTAAGGAATATATAGAGTTAAAGCCTTTTAATAGTAATTAAAAGATAGAATATAAGCAACCAATAAAACAGCATACTATTGAAACTTCATCTCAGTTCACTGAATAAATGAACACAGACATGACAGCAATGGTAGAACCCAGCAAAAACCAAGGGATGATATTGTAAGAACTGCCACTTCTTTAAAACATGTATTACTGATCTGTTTTTAAGGTCTTTTATCCTCATATGTAATCTTTCTTTCATTCTCTTAATTTCAGAGTGAGAAGCGGAGTTCTAATTTTATGTACTTGATGATTGAATTCCGCTGTGCCAAGTGTGATGACAAAGAATACGGGATAGTATATTATGAGAAGGTATGCATCATTTGCAAGTTCTTTTGCTTTATTTTATATTGTCTTAAGTACCAACCAAACCTACTGGTATATTTACTTCTGCCAGGGGTGAAATATTTTCTTCCCAGAAAGCAGCACATATTTGCCAGGTGGCAGATGCTTATAGATATAATGCATTAAAGGATCCAATAATTCATGTGATGCACTTCAGGTTTATAGAATTTTAATAAGCATGAGTGATTTTAAGAAGTCTTCAATTTGCTACCATCTCTTTCATCTCTTGTCTTTCCCCTTCTCAAAAATGCCATAAAACAGTCTTTTTATTTAGTAGTACAGGCTGAATATCCCTCATCTGAAATGTTGGAACCAGAAGTGTTTTGGATTTTGGATTCTGGAATATTTACATATACATATGTAATGAATTCAGACTCATAGGTCCAAAACATATTGCAGAAATAATCCAGTTTGAGAGCACTTTAATTGCTCTAGATCTGTTAGGGAATTCTGGGAACTGTAGTTATGTGAGAAATTTAGCCTTCTCTGTCAGAGAGCTCTGCTGCCACAGTAAACTACAATTTCCAGAATTCCCTAGCACTGAGCCAGGGCAGTTAGAGGTCTCAAACTGAATTATTTCTGCTGTGTGTTTTGGACCCTAGCTGTGTTTGTCTGGAATATCAGTATACAAAGAGATCTTGCAGCACCTTTGAGACTGGCTGTGTAAAAGATGCTGTAGCGTGAATTTTTGTAGATTTGGTCTACCTCCTCAGATGCATGGAGTGAACAGATGTCCAGGAAGAACCTTTATGGAATGTATGAACACTCCATTGAAATACAAAACTTTTGAATATGGTGATGACGTGACAAAAGTTCAGTTTTATCTATGATCGTAGAATACAAAAACAGGAGGAAAAATGTTGCCCAAGGCCAGGGTGGATGGATGACCATATCAATGATGGAAGGAGTTTACACATTTTATAACACTTGATTTCTCATATCCAGTTTAACAAGTTGGTCCTCTGTATCACGGGTTCTTTATACATAGATTCAAGCATTCAAAGCTTGAAAATATTCCCCCTTAAATAAGGAAATCCTGATTTTGTCATTTTATATAAGGAACACCTTTTTACTATCCATTATATTTAATGAGACTATAACTATGCAAGGGGAAAAGGCCCCATTGCAGAAGCAAAATTCAAAGAGGAACTTCATGACTAATGGGTCAGGTTTTTTAGTCACTTCTCAACACCAGTAGTATAGTCTATGCTTACGTGTATCCACCCCTTGGCAAGGTTGAGTTGTCATGTTCCTCCCTCATTTTCACTGGTGCTATTGTGTTGCCTGCTCATTTCAGGAAGAAGACAGTAAGGCTTAATAGCTCTGTTTCCAGTCTTGTATCTGGAACACATTAAATTGCACTGACATGTCACACTGATCTTTATAAACTTAGAAGTTTAATGCATCTTTATGAAT